ACTCGGAAGGAGTGTGTACTTGCATACATGTAAATGCAAAAGCCCTGCCTGCTGCAGGCAAAGTAGGTAGGTGCAACAGTAAGTTACATAGGTGACTTACTGTCGGACCAGCTAGCGTCCCCAAGGTGCTAAGGTTGGGCCTGTTCGGCCTGTTAGCTGCGTACGTCTACATCCTGGCGCGATATGAGGTCAGGATCAGCTGCTGCAAGTAGCTTTTGTAGTTCTAAACGAAGGTTGTTTAGGGCCTCTGTCTTCGAAACAACGTCACGAGAGGACGACTGTGTTTTACATCTTGCATGGCAATGAAGCTTGCCAGTGATGAGCGCTAACGGGAATGTATCTCCCGTGGACCTTGTGGCGCCCTGCTGCCGAGCTCCTGTTCCAGCTGGCTCAGGGACACCCCCAGCGCCTCCCGCTGGAGCCCTCGGATGAGCTCCAGAACCTGAGTGTGAGGACGGAGATCGGGGAACACACGAAGGCAGCGTGCATGTCAACAAGCAGCCGCATGTATGAGAGCGCAGTGGCAGCTGGACACACCCATGCACCGGACACCACCCATCGCTGCCCGTCAGCATGCCACACACACCCACACCCACACACACACACACACACACACACACAGACAGACAGACACACACAGACAGACAGACACACACACGCACACACACCACTGCGCCATACATTCATGCTCCCTGCCTTTATTACACCCTGTAGGAGGGGAGGACGCTTCACATCACAGCTTGGTAGTGCGGACAACCGATCCTGTCCTTTAACCCTGTATTTTATACTGCCGTGCAATTTCCCTGCTGGGAGACTCCGGCCTTTTAGTTGTTGCCTTGCCATCCAGATCCAAATCCGTGGGATTGTGCGAGTATTGTGCGAATGCTTTTAAGAAAAGGACTGATCGTGCACGGTGTTTGCCGCACCTGCTTCTCCGCCTCCACTGACTTACTACCGGATCCCCCTTTCCACTGCTGAGCGATGACGGCGAGTCTGTAGGGGCGTATGTGCCCGGCGATAGCAAGGAAAGCAGTTTCAATATTATAATCAGGTATGGCTCAGACGGGATCAACCCGCCACTGGCGGCCAAGCGTGACCGTAAGGGAGAGCAGCGTAGGTGCGTACGATACGGGTCAGGAGATGTAGTACAGCCTGACACATTACGGGATCTGCATCGGCCGATCGGTTCTTTTCTGAAGTCATCTTCTTTTCTGAAGATCTAAAAGGAGATAGGAGGAGCACGAGTATAACTCATCACACAAATTGTAATCGTTACACCTTCGGGGAGTAACGCAGCTCCTGCAGAAGGTGTGACACACACACACATACATTGGCATGTGATGTGATTACTTGGTAGATCGCTGGGTGGGTTGGTTATTAGCACCATTCCGTCCGATCTCACTCGATCGCAATCCGTTTTGGCGAAGCAGAGCACAAGCCCAGTAGTGATAATAATATGCGGTCGGCACCACTTGCCTGATTATGACTATTGACAACTGCACGGATACACGTGCTAAGCGGGCCAGCAATGTGTGGGACACACACATGCAGATTTTGTTCGTGTGGGTTGCATGTGTTCACACAGCACATAGCACATAGCACAGCACAGCAAGCACAGCACAGCGCAGCAGGGTAATGTGTAACAAACACACCCTCATAACATAAGGAAGAGTAAGCAACATCCAGTGATGCAACATCCCTGGATCCAGCATCCGCCAACCGGCGTGACTCAACCAGCCTGTTACCGTCCCACGGGTCGTTCGCACGCACTTGCTGCACACAGATGCCGCCACGGCCCACAGCCCGCTGCCGGCGGCACTGACCTCCAGTCGCCGCCGCTCCACCTCCTCCAACATCTCAGCTACCCTGATGGCGCCATAACGCCGTACATTGGTTGGGTGTGGGTGAGTGCATGTGGAATATGAAGATGGAAGACATGGAAGATATAACTTCCGAGGGCAGATGCGGTGGATGGACTCCAACGGAACGATGTTGTTGTTACCAAAAGCAGCGCACTAAATGTCCGTGCCTCCGATCCCCTTTCACATGGGACTACCGTGTTTTGAGAACATCATTAGAGAACATTAGAACCAATTAAAAACTCGATTGCATGCCGTTTCGTATGTTATCCAAACACGAAAACAGACATACGCGCAGACACACCTCCCGGGGGTTTCAGAGCCTCCTTTTGCACTGCAGTCCTGCTGTCCTGACTTAACTGCATGAGAAAAACACACACACACACAGATACACACACACACAGATATACACACACACACGCACTTACACACAAAACACACACGTGTTTTTGGAGGTACCTGCGTGCTTCCACGACCACACTGGTTGGCAGCCCTGCGGCCTCAGCCAGCATCAATCCGTAATGGCAATAGTCCAATGCCGCTGCAGGCTGTAGCAGCCACCGGAAATCCAGCGAGCCGGCTGACGTGTCCACCTGCGTGCACACACGTGGCGCAACCACCATGTGTGTATGTCATACCGATTGATGACCCACGGGTCACCGCCATTGGACCGCAAATAATCTGAAATACTGTATATATGTACATTGCTCATTCCTGCTTCCATCTTCATTCTTAGTTCATTGAAGATTGCGCTCCAGTCTCCTTGCCATGGTTTCTTAGTCTCTTAGTTCTTTTTAGTTTTAAAACTAAAAGACGAATAAGCACAATATAACTCGATGGGGCCATGTGCGATACGTCCCAAAGCACGAGGTTCGGTTCACCAAATGCGACTCCAATCCAGTAGTCGACCCACACCACACCACACCACACCATAGCACCCCGCCTAGTCAAAGGGAGCAGCCCCTTCCCTTCCCTTCCCGCCGGACCTGGGGCTACCTGCAGCTTCCATAGCCGGGCCTGAGGGTACAGCACCGCCAACTCGCCCAGCTGGGGAAAGTGGGTGGCCAGCAGGGTGGCCGACCCACGGGTCATCAACTCCTCACAAATCTACGACACATGCACATGCACACACACACACACATCACACCACAATACACAGCAGCAGCAACAGCAGCAGCAGTAACAGCAGCGGGGCGTACAATATGTGACGCACCCATCGTTAGCACCCCACCCTAGCACCCCCTTCCTCCAAATTTCTCCACCGGTACGTATCGCAAATTTGTGTCCCTCACTCCCACACTAAGATGCAGTCACGAGGGGGAGTCACTAGGACTCGGACCGTGTTTGATCAATGAATCAGAAGGGTTGCTGGAATTGGCCAATCCGGTGGCTGGCCTGTCGAGGGGCTGTGTACAACTCATGCATAATACTGAGGTTGTGACGCAATGTAAGGCTGAGAAACAAGGGCGGAGTGTTTCCCCCCCTTGCTGCATGTGTACGACCGAGACCGAGTCCCACCTAACGTGCTAACGGATGCCCTCAAAATATCTCTGCAGCCATGCCCGTTTACTCACCGCCCACGCAAGGCCCACACCGTCGGCCGTACTCGTTGCTCGTCCCAGCTCGTCCAGCAGTACCAGGCTCCGCGGCGTTGCTGACGCCAGCACAGCGGCGGCATCCTGCAGCCATTCGCAACGAGCACCGTTGCGTGTGTGAGAGCCGCGACTAACCCGCCCTCACTCCGTGCCTAGCAGTATCGCTGTAGCACTAACGGTAACAGTTACAGCAATAGAGATAAGCGAGTGGGACCCCCCCCCCGTAGCGGTGCGCCCGGCCCTCACTCTTCCAACACTTCCAAACCAAAAACCAACCTGACCGCGTACCCTTTCCCAAATGGGCGAGAGAGCCCACCGCGTTCGGCGCAGGCAAAACCCGCAATGCACTGCACGCCAGCTGATAGTCCCACAAATCCAGTTGCTATCAACCATGCGCACACACGTGCACACGCTACGCTCACACATCTACGTAGACACGCGCAGACCTCCCCCGCCCTCCCTTCAACCTTCCCCTCTCACCCCCTCATCCCCTTCCCCTCCCCCAGGGCCCCCCCCCAAGCCCTACCTGCATCTCCGCTAGGAAGCTGCTGCTCCCCGACTCAAGGTCGTCTTCCGGACCCATAAGGCCCCCGCCTCCCCCGCCTCCCCCGAAGCTCAGTCTTCCCAGCAGCGCAGTAAAGGGACTTAGCGCCATGAACTGCGCCGGAACCCAACAGCCCGCCTGGGCCATGAGCACTAGGAGGCCCACCTGGCAGAGGGGGGGCGAGGGGGGTAGGGGGGGTAGGAGGAGGAGAAGGAGGAGGAGGGGTCATATGATGCAAGAGGCAAAGAGTCAGGTGCCGAAGTCCACTGTACCGTACCACTAGCACCAAACTGTCGACGAAGTCCGAGACGAGAGGACGGAGGAGGTAGATGGATAGTTGGAAGTTGGGTTAGTTGGCAGTTGGGGGTTGGGAGGAGCCGATAACCGGTCGTAGAAGCCGCGGCTCTCACACACACACATACACACAGGCACAGAGGAAGAGAGACGGCGGGAACTGCCGGTCGCTACTCAAAAGGTTCGTGCATCTACCTGGAAAAAACGTGTCATTCATCGCCGTACACTCGATCGTACAATTACGTAGCCGTACGCACCTGGTGTAGATAAGTGGACTTTCCGGACATGTTCGGTCCCGTGATGATGTGGAGGGGGGCAGTGGAGCTCACGAAGACATCGTTAGCCTGGACGCGACCTCCTCCCCCACTTCCTCCGCCCGTAAGGAAGCTCCTGGCGGCCAGTAGCGGGTGCCGGCCCTAGGGGGGGGAGAGAGGGGGGGGAGAAGGGGGGGGAGCATCATGCAAGAAACTCAGAAGTGAGCCCTTCAAGAGTTCCCCCTAGGGAGGGGAGGCAGGGCCCCAAATGGGGATCCCTTTGATTAGTGACTTCAAAGGATTGGACGTAGCAATCCGCAGCGGCATCAATCAATCTATCAATCGATCACCGAGACGGTGATTCGACAGCGCTGCGCTCCATTCACCGCCCGGTTAAGATCCGCCTACGGATCAATCGTTCGCCTACTCTGCTTTGTACATCGTTTTACACACCATCAACACAATAAAAACAGTGAGACAGTAAAACGCAATGATACTTATTTCAGACCAGGAGATATTTGACATGCTGTAAAACATCTCGGGACGTACGAAAGTACGACAGGGTTGCTGCCGTACCTGTACGATGGCGAGCGGTCCGCCTAGTTGTAGCTGCGGGCGGCAGCACTGACCCATGGGTCCGTTGGCAACCACATCCGCCAGCCCCACCATCAGGTCCAGTAACGCCAGACTATCCGCAAGTCGCTGTAACGCCCCCAGCTGACCAAACGCCTCCGAAACCACACTCTCTAGCAGCTGCACGGCGGAAGCCCCCGAGGTAGGAGAACCAACAGGGGACGTGAGGGGTCGTGGGAACGACAAGATATGCCGTACAAGAGGAACACGAAACCCCAAAAGCCGCGAAAGCATGTACGGAACGACATCCCAACAAAAGATGCGTGTACACGAGAGAGGATCACGATTTTCAAAGAACCAACGGACAGCTGCATCTCTCTACGCATCATCGCTCCGAAACCACACCACCTACAGCAATCCCGTACACACCCACCTGTCGCGTCAGCAGCAAGCAGTCAAACGTGGCGTCTCTTAGCCGGGCGTTGAGCGCGTTCAGCTCATGAGTGGTGAGCAGCAATGTGCCGGGACCCCGCCGCTCCAGAACCATCAACTGTAGAGGCAGTTGGGGTGCCGTACTGTCGTCACGGGGCGCTCCTCCTCCTCCTCCTCCTCCTCCTGCCGCCGCCGCTGCAGGCGATGCGATCGTGCCGCCGCCGCCACTACCTTCCCCTCCTTCCCCTTCTTCTCCTTCCCCTCCTGCTGCAGACGCAGCCGGATTTCCCCCTCTTCCGGTCCGGGGCCCCCTATCGCGCTTCCTGCTCCCACCCGCCCCCGCACCGCCGCCGCCACCGCCCCTTCCAGCGTTAGCCGGCAGGGTGAGGTAGAAGCCCTTGCGGCTGCTGTACGACACCTGAGCGTAGGCAGGACAAGGTCGTACACTGTACGGAGTAAACAATACGTACGGGGCCCACATGTAACAGCAGCAGTAAAAGGCTGTAACCCTACATCCCCCCATCGAGCCTTAGAAAGCTCAATGGGGGCGATAAGCGGCGACCGTGCTTTGACCCACGCCCCAGTAAAACCCTAAAACCCTCTATTGAGAGAAATTCAAACCCTCAATCACGCACTCGCGCGGGGGTGCGTCGTCCCATCGCATTGGCTGGCCACTCCGCCCAGGCATCCACCCCTCGCACGCACCTGCACAACCCGCTCCCTCCGTTCACACGCGCACGCAACCGTTCACCTTAAGTTCCGGCAGCCCCATCTCCTGGGCGTACCGCGCCCCCAAAGCATGTACGGATTCCGTTAACCGACACAACGACCCGCGGGCCATCTCCAGCAGCCCTCCGCCGGGACCCGGAGGACACGCATCAGCAGCTGCCGTACGTACCGCGAAGCACTGCTGGATACGCGACATGAACTGGGAGCCACGCGCCGCAGCGCCGGTGGCTTCCTCGTCAAGAACCTACAGCAGTACGGCAACCGTACGAGTCATACGTTCTTAACAGGACGTATATAGGCGTGTGGTCGTTGAAAACCCTTTCTTTCCCCCCTCCCTTTCTCACGAAGTTTAAATCTCATCCCAGGGTTTTCTTTCCCAATGCCGTACTACCCCCCTTACCCGCATCGTCCCCCCTACCACCACAACCCCTCACCTCATCCACTCGGTGCCTCAGGGCTAGTAAACCCGGCGCCGTACAGTTTGTACGAATTGCCGTCAGCAGGGGGCTGCGAGCAGGCTGTCAGGGTGCACGGGTTTGCGAGGCGATGGGGAAGGGGCGGGGGTAGTGGGTATCAAAAGAGACCCCGCCAACCGCCAACCGCCAACCGCCTTCACGTCACCCCCTTCCTACCCGCCCACCGATCTCCCTCCCAACACCGGCCCCCCCCGGTAACCAGGCAGGGAGAAACGGCGTAACGGAAACCAACCAACACATTATTTTTTACATACTTTTGGCAATCGTGAAGTAACTGGGAACAAGGTGGAAAGAGGAACCAATAAAAGTGCATGGCCGTACGGCAATTGTACGGCAGACTGCCTTGTACGGCAGACACCTTGAGGGGGTGTCGTACCTGTAGAGTATTAGCCAGCGGCTCCATGACAGCCAGGATATCTCGAAGCAGCAGCAGCGACTGCACGAGTCCGCCGATAGCGCGACCTGTGGAGGAAAGAAAAGCGGGGGGGGAAGAGGTGGGAGTGAGTCGAGGACGGATCGAGGAGGAGTAGTGTAGGAAGAACGAAAACCGGCGCTTGGCGCGCGACACACAGCCACACAAAACCAAAGAAACTCAAACACCTTAATTTAATTGGAGCAATCAATACGGAAAGGGGGGACGGATTTTATATGTCAAGGGCGCCAGGTAGAATCTCTCCCCAACCTCCCCCCCAGCATCCAGATAAGCTCCAGATCCCACCTCATGTGGCCTCAGTCATGTGCCGCGTAAGTAAAGGACACAAAACAACCAAATACTTCGTCTCGTGTATCCGTTCGTCCCACTGCCGTACTGTACCGCACCGTGCCGTACCGTGGCCCTTGTTTCAGTTGTTGCACGCACCAGGGTCGTTACCCGCCGCCGACTTGAAGGCCCCGGCACCACCACCCCCCGGGGGCCCGCTGCCACCCGCCGCCGCCAGGCTGTAGCACATCTTGTCAAGATCCTTTGGCAGTAGCGCCAACACCTGACCCAAATCAAAAGCGAGCGTGTCCTCCTCGATCAACTCTTCAATAGTGTCGTACCTGCATCGTACAGTAATACACAAATGAGGCCACACAAAGGACCCGACTACACATGTACGGCACACATGTACGGCACACACACTGACACTTCGCCCTATTATATTTTGTTAGAAATGCAGTCACAAAGGTCAGACGGCGTGTGGGTTCTTCCACTTTCTAATCTTCAATCTTCACCACGGGGGTGCCGTACCTCATATTGAGTGTCCCCACATCCGCCAGGGGTTGTAGCAGACTGGACCGCAACAGCCGCATCCCGGCTGCCGTACGTAGGGAGCTGCCCAGCAGCCGTAGCAGGCTGGCGGCGGCGGGAGGACCCGAAACGGGGAAGCGACCCATGGGTCCACCACCCGGCTGAACGACCTGCCAGGGACATTCATTCAGTGCGCCTTCCTTGGCTTTCTTTTACGAGGGGACTCAAAAGTGCCTCAAACACGGCCCCCCGTTCCTCCTGTACGGCACCCACCTCCAGCGCCTCGGCCAAACCCGCATCCAACCTCAAATGCAGACCCGCATGAAGTTGCTCCACACGAACGCAGCGGGCTCGAAGAGGCACCGGGACCGCACTACACGAACCCGCAGCAGCTGTGCCGCCCACGGCAGTAGCATCAGCAGTAGCAGCGCCTCGCGGCAGGGGTGTTCCCAGGGCTGCTGCTACAGCCTCCAAACCGATCACGCGGTGCAGCAGTGCGCCGGCGGCACCTGGGGCTCGGAGGAACCACCCTGTGACCGAACTCTCCCCTGTCCAGAAGATGTGATCACATCGTATCCTTCCCAGGATTGGATTTGGATTTATGGAATAAATTGCTACCGGCTATCATTGCACCTGGATCTGGATCTGAATTTGGATTTGGATCTGGATCTGGAGCCCCTCACCCAATGCCAGGTATTGTGAAGACCTGCCCACAGCCGCCGCAACTTGAGCTTGACTGTCCTCACTCGCGAAGATGCCGAGAAGATGCCCACCCTGCAAAACAGCGGCAACATGGCAGCAGCAGTACGACAGCAGCAGTACGGCAGCAGCAGTACGGCAGCAGCAGTACGGCAGCAGCCTTGCCGCCAAGCCCCAACCTGATCAACAGCAAGCATTAGAAGCGCACTGGTCGTGTTACGACAACACAAGTGCTTTCCTTCCATGCCGAGCTTTAAAACTGTAATTACCTGTACGACATTTGTACGAGGTCCGACACGAAGACGTAGAAAATAAAAAATTCGTTTTTTTGATGTGGCTGATCCTAACCCTAATTCCCTCCAATTCCCCGCAGCGGGGAAAGCTCCCCTACCCTACCCACACGTCCACTGCCACCAACCACCCAACTACCCAACTACCCACGTACGCACCTGCGTATCGTCAAAACAGGAACGTGGCAACGCATGTACGGAGAAGCCTCCGCCGCCGTACGGCTCCACCACGCATCGACCATCGTCGCCGCCGGAGCCGCCGCTGCCACCGCCGCCGCCGCCGTCACGCGACCCAGTGCCGTCGGTGGCCACCTCAGTTGCTGACGACGTCGCCGCCGCTGGCCCGCCGGCGGCGGTAGCGGCTTTTTGGAGCAGGGCCCTGTTGACTCCCGTCATTAGGAAGCCCGCGGCCTGCTGCGAGGGAAGCGCCGCCGCCGCCGCCGCCGGTCTCCCTCCCGCTGTCGTACCCTCTCGGGGTGCCACCACGACCACCTCGGTGGCGCCTACAAGCTGAAGCAGCATCTGGGTCACCGCGTACGACCTGTGTAGCAGTTTACAATAGTGAGATTTACAATTGTGTAGCAGTTTACAATAGTGAGGTTGCGACAGGCAGTAGTAGAATTTTGAGGGCTTATTATCTGTCTTGACTTTTGCCATCACTCGATTCATTTGCTTTGAAATGCTGCAGTTTTTCGCTCACGCACGCCGTGCTTCTCGGGGGAAGGGTAAGAATAGAAATGAAGCCCGGCACGCATGCCAACCAAATAGGTTTAGGTATCATCAAGGTCACGCATCCTTCTTTGAAATCTCTTCTTGGGAATTTCTTCTTGGAGAAAAGCTAAAGCAAAAATCAACACCAGCGGACTGCTCAAGCTAAGGAGCACACCACCGACCGCCTTAGGTACCTGCCAGGCTCGATGTATTGTGACAGACGCAGTTTCAGCGTTGAAAGGTCCAAAACGGCGAGCCCAACCTCTCGAGCACGATTTTCAATCACGCTTGCGACCACCCGGCTGGAAAGCTGTGAGCCAGCGACTTCTTTGGCTCCACAATTTCGCGGCTGTGGCTTGGTTGCTGAATCAGAGCCAGGCTTCTGTTCCTCATCTTCCTGAAACGAAGAAAGCAGGCCTTGCAACCGGTGAGGTGGCTGAGTTGGCGCCTTGTTGACAGCAGCCATGCCTCCAGGATGTCGAAAAATTCCTTATAATTTACAACTATCCTTACAAGCAGTATTATTGGATTGAAGATCGTATGGATGTTCATTAAGGATAATAAGGAGGGAAATTGAACCATGGGTCAGCTAAAGGATGCAAGGACCACAACATGAAAATGAGATACAAATTCATGGCAAAATGCAAGTTTTCTATTGACGAAGATACTTTTCGCTAGCGGCCTCGTCAATGCAGAACGCAATACAGTGTACGACATCTTAACAGCTCGGGTAACACTCAAGCGAAAGCCAGGTCGCTGTAGTTTAGGTGCCTGATTAGTTAAGAACACCTTGAAACTATTACCTGTTTCAAGCTTGCCTCTGTTCGGAGGAATAAGTGACGTCGTTACAGTGGGCTATCCCTGAACAGATCACCTGTAGATGCCGACCGCATATATAAAAATAACCCGAACATTGTATTGGCCAGGCATAAAGGCCCTGGGAGTGCCCTTGGAACCGATGCCAGTGGCGCAGGGCTAGTCGCAGGCGCATGGATTTGAGGCGTGCGATATGGCTTTGCACCGGATGTCAAGCTCCGGAGCCATTGGCACCACGCGTGGGTTGAACGCGCGATGTGGGTCACACCAGGAGCGGGTTCACTGGTGCGCTGGGTGTCGCTTCTGCTGCCAACAGACGACAACTTGGGCTCCGGCATAGCCCCGGAAGCCCCGTTTAGGTGTGTTGCTTCATAAGACCCAAGCCTTGTATGTGACCTAGATGTGTTGCCAACTTCCCCCGGTGGCGATGGACCGAGCCCCGAAAGGTAATTCCCACCCCAGAGGTAAACCTCACGTTGACTTGGGGGTAAAACGGCTATGTGGCCGTGTTAGCTGCCACCTTTTTGGAATGACCCTATGGACCTCGATTCGTCGTTCGGATAGCTTCTGCCGGGTGCGTGGGTCCTGGCGGCCAGAAAGCCAAACTGGGACTGCTTGGTGTGGTGCGGTCGCTACCGCCACCAAGGCAGGCGACCTTAGGGAAGCGTGATCCCGGTGCTAGATATGAAGAATCTGTTTTGAATAAATGGGGAAAGAGAGAGCCATCAGAGTTGTTGCGGATGGACGCGGTGATGACCTTCGAGATGCCAAGTCATAACTGGATAGTATAGCTTGCTCAGGCATCGTTGCTTTTTTACTGCACGGGCAGAAGCAGGAACTGCTGAAAGTGGAAAACATCTTATCGTAAGGGCCACTTTAACCCACAACGGATCTGACTTGCGTGCACCCTTCGGCAAAGCTGGAAATACATATATAAATATATGGCCCGCGCACGCACTGTGCACTTCTATAAGGTACAAGGTACAAGTTCCGCACGAGTGCGGGGTTGTCCAGGAGGGCATGGACCATATATATTATTGAAAGTTGAGGACATGAACTAGAAGCGGCAATACCCGGCAATATCCGGTCGCGCCACATGGCCGACGGAGTCTAAAATTCTTTGTTCTCAATAGCAGCAATAATCTCTAACACCAAATGTCTCCCCGCAACTCGCACCAACAGTCGGGTTGCCCAACCTCACCGGAACGGATCCCTAGGAGTGGACTGTCAAACTATTACCGATTCCTGCTCGCATCCATACTGCCCTTAAGGGCATGTCGCGGGATGTGCCGCGCCATATATCTCATATGTTACATGGTCGTGGGAAGGTGCGTTCCCCGTACCTGCAAACCGCCCAAATACGGAGTAGAGGGCTCAAGGGCTGCCAGATCGCCTATAAGCACCATCCTACCTCGCACTTCAGACAAAGTGATAAGGATACTAACGACCAAAGGGAACGATGGAGTTGCGGTGCATATGCTGGATGCATCCTTGCCAGACGTTCAGGTTCCCACTTCATAGCGTCCTTCATATGCTCGAAGCGTGGAAATCCATATCAGATCTGATTTTGTGTGTGTTACACCTCGGTTGCGTCAATAACAAGCTCATACGAGCCAGAGGCCCAAGAGCCTAAAAGCACAAGTTAGCTCAGGGATTACATAGTAAAACGCAAAACTTCTGACACCCATATAATATACGCAAAAGAAACAAGTACATTGATTATTATAACTATGACTGCCCGTGTAGAGACGAGCGTGTAAGCCAAATGCAGCGCACCAGGTGGGCCAGTCTTGTTTGCTAGCTATCCATCATAATCGTCTTTACATCAGACTCGTGGCTAAGGGTTACCTCCGAATACTCACGATATGCAGGATAAGTTAGGAAATCTAAGAGAACATGATGCTCATTTTCCACCTTGTGCAGCGCGCAAAACTCACACATCCTCTGCTCGCGGCGAATTCCACGAAATTCACAATTCGCCGCTAGGGGCCAACAGCACGTCCAAAACCTCATCAAAGAACGGTGCACATCTGCTGGGATAAACTCCCGGATGTGCGAAAGCCACCAGCTAGTTCCAGCCGATTTTCCAAACGGCAACCTCATTCGATGTGCGTATCTCGCCATCATAACCCCTGGTTGCTTCCCATCCGACCCGAAATCCAATGGACCCGTGCTCAACCTCGGATGACCCCAGTTAGCCATAGGCTGTCGCCTAAACTCGGAAAAGACTGGAGTCCAGTCACTGGACCCTCCGGATTTGGCCTGCTTGCAAGCCAATCGACCTTATCATCATCCTACACTAACAGGGATGGCATGCCGGCCAAAATATCGTACTTCATAGCTGCTCGAAACCGGAGCGCCTTAGTCGCCCATCCGTTATCAAACTCGCCGTGCTGCACCGTGCAGCGATTTCCTGATGCAAAGTGTGATGAGCGAGTGAGCCGGGCTGCTTGGCAACAGTGTTCCAGAAGCCAACAACTCTCTGGGCCCAGAGGTAATGCATTGTGAACCCGGAGGGGTAGCTGTGCGACAAGCAGTCTTTGGGATGGTTGAACAGCCCCGACTAGTACTCGACGCATAAACATGATCTGCAGCTTTACCATAGGATCTGAAAGGCAGGACTCAAAAAGCCCTGCAGCCAAAGTAGTACAGTCAAAACGCCCGGGGCCGGAAACATCTTTATCCAGGACATCAGTGCCCCAGACTTGGCACCCCTACGAGCAGATCTGAGCAGGTCTGTACGTCAAAATAGCGCAGCCTCACGTCCGGCGCCCAATTATTTAGCTTACCTATTAGACTGAACATAGCGCCTCTCGCAGCTATAACTACAGCACTCCTGCACGGCGCGAAGTCGCCCCCAGGCCCGTACATAAGGCCGAGGTAATGGGCCTTGTCAACAACTGGTATTACATCGATTCACCACCAATATGGAGCGCTTCGCAGTCATTGAGATTGACATGCGAAAGCTCAACCGATTGTGCAAACATCATGAGCTCTCATTTACGAATAGAAGGACTCAGCCCAAAGATCAAGCTAAACTCACCAACAACATCCAAGCAACATCTAAATTCACCAACAGCATATGCAACACGTACAGGATCATCTTCATGTGCTTCCCTGCTTCAATTTCACCGTCGACTGGATAGGGCGTCGGCGCCGCATACCCAGCTTTTTTTACTTTTCAGATTCGCGCAAAACCCACTACTGCAGGCTGCACCGTAGACCATACCGTACACATGCGCCATGGCACGTCTCCAGGTGCTGCATGGTATGTCCGCGGGAGCTTCCTCATACCCAAACCACATGGCACTACGATTTTTTCCAAGCATCGGAGCTTCGATAAGCCTTTCCCTGCATGCCACCACTCGTGGCAAGGTCACCAATTAAATGCATTGCCGCAGACTGGCCCGCTTTTCATAAGGCCCCAATCACGGCCAGACAGGATTGTCTCCTTGATATCACGAGTATCGATCCCCTCACGGGTTTTCCTTAGTCCGACGGGGGGTAGCTATCTTACTCCAGAAACCGATAGCGCGCTTGGCCCAAAAGTGGTGCGAGGGAGAAACAATTGAGAGCTCAGCAAACAGCAGCCTGTTTGTGGGGGGCCCCGTGCAGCTCATACCCTTTTGCGCATGAGCATTGCAACTTCACCATAATGTCAATCACCAGCTCGCAAAAAGACCCTCCGCAAAATTGTCATGGTCGCTATGCTTGGTGGTTCGTCACAGAGCTCCCTCGAGGGCGTCGGGTCCCCAGGTCGCACAGCCATAAGAGCAAATGGCCCGAACTTGTGCTTCAAAGCACCTCATCCGTAGGTCAGGGGCCCACAACTTGCGCTTGTCTCGCTTGCCTAAGAAGCCAACCATAGCACCCCGGCATCCCGGCTTCGACACTCGACAAGTGGGAGAAAAACTAGTGGAAGGAAAGGCTTTCTCAAATCCGCACCAGGCACCCCGCACGACAGGTATGACCCCTCTTAGCTATGCACGGGCCCAGCACATCTGTTCCAGACGTCACCAATAACGTCACCGCATTCGCGGGTTTGGGGGCCATATACCGAGCCCCATCACTTACGATGCGTTCCTAAGGATGCAGCACAGGCGTGCAGCCGGCCCCAGACCGGCGATTAATGACCGGACAGCGTGTTGCCTTGAGATGCCTTGAGGTCCTGTCCCGGGCCAATCTTTCCACAGTACACCGCACGAACCCCACAAAGCCTCATTCGGTGGGCCAACAAAATTTAAATCCCGTGTCCGCGGCGTGAACTGCCGCAGGGACCACAGAATTCCGCACTTCGTGGGGTGAGCACTCTTTGGTAACCGCCGGGGCAACGACGGTTCCAAACGCTTCCTTCTTGCACTACTATGGCCTGCGCGAGACTGCAAGGAAAGGGGGCGTTATGAATGGGGCGAGCATCGGGTTGCACTAACCTGCCGGGGGATGTACCATACCAACAACGGGCAACTGCCGCACGAGCATGTGGAAATTCCCCAGTTAAGAGGATCCCGATGTCATTAAGCGCCATGGCCTCCTCAGGCCGCCTCAACATGCCCAACACGTGCATTTGGACGCACCGTGTAGCTGCAGTGCTGAACTCAAAAGTTTTACTCTTGAGCCAGCCCGCAGCGGAACAAGAGCCGCGCCAACGGAGGCGGCCCTCAAAAGCTGCTCCCCAACCACCTCTTCCACCACAGTTGTGGTTGAGGTTGAGGGCTGTTGGTAGAATCGCAGCAAGACTGCCAGCGATCCGGGCGATCTCAAAGCGGGGAGCTCCCCCGACTAAGAAGGTCAAAAGAGGCTGCGGGGACGTGGAGACGATACTTAAAAGCGTCTCCTTGTGCCCAGCCAGCAGCCAAGAAGTCAATTGCCACGAAGGCAATTTCACAGCTACAGCAGCCAGCGGAGCTCAGAGGAATCAGAAGACGAAAGACTTACCCCCCAACTTAAACCTCTTAACCTAAAAAACCTTCCAACAAAAACCATGGCCCCATGGCGATGCCAGCAGTGAAATCGCATCCACCCATGTCACACCAACGAACTCGGCCAAGCACTGTTGGCAAGCACGTGCCATGTGTGTCCGCCGCCGAGCCGTACTGTCTGCGAGCGGCCTCAAGGGTAGGATGCACCGTCTTCCCCACATAGCGCCCCCTCCTAATAATGGCCCCACAAGGTCTTCACCGCCACCAAGGCCAACCCAGCATGCGGCTGAACCATGCCTTCATGGTATTTGGCAGGTTGAACCTAGGACAGCTTTCGCTGGAGGCGGTGCTAATAAACAGCCGATGTTTGTGGCTGTTTCTATCCGCTGAGGCATCCAATGCGCTGTCCAAGACCCGGCGGTGCATGCCAGCACACACCATGCGGTCGCCGGCTTTTTCCGACATGCCTCGTTGCCGTGGATGAATGGATGGCAGCTGCATGCCCTAACGGGCGAGCCCCTGTTGCATTCATCAGCAACCATCACTGATATACCCGGTGATCCAGCTGGCGACAGTGCAGCTGCATGCACCGGCTCACTGCTAGGTGATACGCTTGCTCTGTCTTGCTTCTCCTGTAGCGTATTTTGACACGATAATCGTCAGCATGCATGCCCGCGAGCATCAAGCACCCATGGCCGCCTGTACTGCTGCCTTGAGCCACTGGCTGGTTACCGATTTTCCCAGCGGGAGCTGCAAGGTATGCATCGGAGACCATCCACCGGGCAGCGAAAGTGCTGAGCGAAATGGCCTTCAGCAGGCAGGACGGTGATGGCTTAGCTGCTGCCATCTACAGACCCTATGCTAGCGCGCATGTCGACGACATTGCAAACCTCACCAGCTGCGGGTTACCTCCAGCGTTCTCAACGACCTTCTGGGCCCTTCACGAATACTCCTCCCATCCATCCGCACAACTCTGAGAACGCACGCTGCAACTGGTCGCCCTCATAAACCGGCGCTACGTAAGGGCCCGCGGAATAATAGGGCACTGAGGTGCACGAAGTCGCCCATGTGTTGAGGGTGTGGCGCAGCCGATCCCGCGCGCTCTGGACGACCCGCTGCGGGTGCGGTTCGTCATCGTCAGTGCAGACGACGGTCAGCTCGCCAATCGTCTCATCTTCCTTGCCCACCAGCAGCTTGCAGCCAGAGTCGTTCACCCTATACCGCAACAGGTACAGCAGGTGGACAAGAGGTTCAGGTAGAGCAGCAGGTAGAGCAGGCAGAGCAAAGCTAAGTAGTGAGCGACAGAGCGATGTCTTAAGTAGTAACAGGTTACAGCCAGTAAAGCAGAGCCAGCAACCCGTAGAAGGAGTTCAAGCAATAGATGTAAGCAACCAGGGCAGTACAACGTGTTCTGCATTTGCACAAACCAGCAAGGGCGTGACATGCGTTCAGCAGTGCTGGAGAGCTTGTCAACTGCTCGCCGGTGTCAGCATGTGACACACAATGCAGGGCAGGGCATTAGAAGTAGGATATGGCAGGGCATTGCGGAAGGGCCGATGCACCGGGCAATTTACAGGAGCAACAGACTCATCACGTTGCGCCGGGCTTTTCGTGTTTTCGGCGGTGCGTAAGTTACGAATTCGCCATCTCGGAACTTCCCCTCCCTGTTAAGATCCGACGACAACTCTTCAGTGCCCTTTTCCTGTACCTCTGCCTGTTGCAGCAGCTCCTGGCGGCAGATGCATGTGCCCCGGTTACCACGCGTGTCCCTCTTGCGAGTAACACCCCCCACCCCATGTGGCTCCTGGCTTCCCCCTCTTTCTGATTCCTCTTGCTCTCTCTTCACGAGCCGTTTCTGTTTCACACGCTACGGCTGGTGGAGGCGCCACCTGACCCTCACAGACCCTCGTTGTCCGACTCTTCAGCGACTTGCTTTTGTGGGTTACACTTTTTCCAGCCCGCTCCGACAGGCCCTTCCTGTCCGTCCATGGGCTCGCTCACTGTCCCTTCCCTGCCCCACAAAGGCCAGCTACTACACTGTTGAGTTGCAGCAACTCACATGGCGTGCAGGTCCTTGTAGAAGTCGCTGTTCTTGCGGCGCTCCGACAGCAGCATATGGCAAAGGGCGCGTAGTGCGTATTCGGGTGTACGATGCTCACGAATTACTTTGAGGCTGTCCAGGTTAAGGGTGGTGCTTGCAGGCTCAGACGAGGATGCAGCGCTCTTAGTGGATGCCTTACTCCTGGGGCCGCCACTCGCGGCCTTGTCGTCGACCTTGCCATCCTGGAAGCCTTTGCCGCCCTTGCCGTCCTGGAAGCCCTTGCCGCCCTTGCCGTCCTGGAAGCCCTTGCCGCCCTTGCCGTCCTGGAAGCCTTTGCCGTCCTGGAAGCCTTTGCCGTCCTGGAAGCCCTTGCCGCCCTTGCCGTCCTGGAAGCCCTTGCCGTCCTTGCCGTCCTGGAAGCCCTTGCCGCCCTTGCCATCCTGGAAGCCCTTGCCGTCCTGGAAGCCTTTGCCGTCCTGGAAGCCTTTGCCGTCCTGGAAGCCTTTGCCGTCCTGGAAGCCTTTGCCGTCCTGGAAGCCCTTGCCGCCCTTGCCATCCTGGAAGCCCTTGCCGTCCTGGAAGCCTTTGCCGTCCTGGAAGCCTTTGCCGTCCTGGAAGCCTTTGCCGTCCTGGAAGCCTTTGCCGCCCTTGCCGTCCTGGAAGCCCTTGCCGTCCTGGAAGCCCTTGCCGCCCTTGCCGTCCTGGAAGCCCTTGCCGTCCTGGAAGCCCTTGCCGCCCTTGCCGTCCTGGAAGCCCTTGCCGCCCTTGCCATCCTGGAAGCCCTTGCCGTCCTGGAAGCCTTTGCCGTCCTGGAAGCCCTTGCCGTCCTGGAAGCCTTTGCCGTCCTGGAAGCCCTTGCCGTCCTGGAAGCCCTTGCCGCCCTTGCCGTCCTGGAAGCCCTTGCCGTCCTGGAAGCCCTTGCCGTCCTGGAAGCCTTTGCCGTCCTGGAAGCCTTTGCCGTCCTGGAAGCCTTTGCCGCCCTTGCCGTCCTGGAAGCCCTTGCCGTCCTGGAAGCCCTTGCCGCCCTTGCCGTCCTGGAAGCCCTTGCCGTCCTGGAAGCCCTTGTCGTCCTGGAAGCCCTTGCCGTCCTGGAAGCCCTTGCCGTCCTGGAAGCCCTTGCCGTCCTTGCCAGCCCAACCTATTTGGGAACGTCGCGCAGCAGAGTCCATTTCAGCTGGTGCTCCCTTGCTGCTTCCGGGCCGCGCGCTTCCTGGGCCTTGCTGCTGCTGCTGCTTCCATTGCTGCTGTGGTGCACTACCGCCGGCGTTATGTGCTGGCACCTCCACGCCCTGGTGGTTCCGGAGCCAATACTGGAGGAACTCCATCCAATCGTGATGCCACGCGTTAGCACGGCCCCGGATGGCAGAACTGCATGCAAGCAGCAGGAGCACGTGGGAGGGGTCGAGACGCGTTACCCAGCCATGGTGCATGGGCCTTGGAAGCCCATGCTTCCAAACGTCTCCGTGCAACGTCCCTGTGTCACACACACACACACACACACACACACAACCCAACGTCCCAACGTCCGATTGCACAATCTCAAGTCCTCGTTAGGCGGGTGCTTCGTTTGAACATGGACTCAAGCAAACACCGTAACACGGGGCCACGAGGGGAATGTCAACCCGGGCCCCCCCGTGCGTGTGTGTGTGCTACCAGTAGTCCTTTCCTTTTAAACACCAACAGCTGTTTAAAGAGCATTGCGAGTCAAGTCTCGATGCCCCTGGTAGAGCTCTCGGGGACGAAACCCTCATGCATTCCACCCTCTGTGAAAGTGAGCCTCCTGTGTCCCTCTTTCTGATGGCGCCATCACTGGTGAGATTTCCTGGCACGGTTCCCATTCCTGTTGAAGATGCCCCGATCGGACGTCGTGAGGGCGGTTAGCTTCGCAAACTCCAGTCATGGGGAAAAAGAAGAAGAAGAAGAAGAAGAAGAAAAAAAGAAGAAGCCTTACAGCAAATTGCCGCTGGTGATGCCCTCCGGGTGCAGCACTTCGACATCCATGCCGGCGTTCATCGCCTGACGAATGCACTTGGTGTAATCGTCATCGCCGGTGATGACCACCAGCACACTCGATGCGGCCTTGCCGTCCTGAATCTGTCGCCCCACGTACGTCTCGATCCTCTACTTCCGGGTGCATGCATGTGCGCGTAGGAACGACCAGGCGGGACCAGGTGGTAAGTGCTGGTCAGGACGAGGCGGTGTTAGATCGGGAGGAGTCATCAGGCTTCCCTAATGTATGCCATCGCCATGGTGGTCGACCGTCAAACTACCATCCCTGCGCTGCCGGTGATCCTTCGGGGTCCTTTGTAACATGGTGGTAAATGCTATATCAATTCATTAAGGAAACTAAGACAGCGTGTCTGTAGAGTTGATGAGGCAGGTGAGCAAGCCCGCCATGCTCCCATAACAAGGAAATAAAGGCAAAACGCCACATGCAAATATGAGCGGTGGACAGGGGGAAGATTGTATTTTGAAACATACAGCTTCACCTGGCTCTGTTATCAAATGTTTGCAGCTCACTCACCTCCAGAAGCTTCGAGTCCGTGGAGGTGCTCTTGTCGCCCCCTGGTGCCAGCAGGTACTCGGTATGCTGCATTAGGTAGTGCACATGCTCCCGGCCGTACACCTTCATCATGGCGTCGTGGGACAGGGGGCTGACAGCGCACAGGAAGCCGGAGCGCTTCCGGCGCTGCAGGTACTGGAAAGCGTTAGAGATGGCCCTGGGAGGGAGGAATTTCCAGACAAAGAGATGTCCAGGGGGGGGTGCGCACACATTTGCACGCAGGCCAGCCAGCCACAGCCCAAGAGCGACCCGCGGCCGGAATGAATGTACAGGACAAAGGAGATTGACGATGTATGGCGTTGAGAAGGGAAAGACGGAACTGGGCCTAGATAGAGGTAGCGAATTCGGCTGGAAGCGGTCGGTGCACGGAGGAGAACGAAAAACCGAAAGGGCCAAATCGGAAGGAGGTTCCCGAAGGCTTTCGGAGGCTACAGGGCTTTTAACCTCAGCCGTTTGGGAAGCGGTCATCTCGCTTACTTCTCGACTTCTTCCACTGGCACGCCGGTCGGCAGCCGAGCATTCTCGATGTCCCAGGCAATTAGTACTTCCTTTTGGACCGGGCCATCGCGTCCGCGGACCTCGAGCTTCTGTAAGTTGGCAAGTGCTGCGGAACTCAGTGCGGCCATAGCTTATACCTTCAAATCTCCTAACGAGCACCAGCCTGAATGAAACGTTGTTTTGTAGACGTGAGCGCGCTGAAAGAATAGCTCTAGGCTCTGCAACGTCGGGGGATGAAACCCGTTGCATGCAAGGCCCAAGCCGTGCTGGTCATTTGTCAGTGGTTACACGCATTTTTATACCATATCCATAAATTTGCGCTGGACGGTTGATGTCCCTGCGGGCTAATAAGCTTACGGTTTCTTGGATAGGTGTACTTGGATTTTGGACGAAATCAACCTTGAATACCTTAAGGCCTGTTTCCACTTGAATTAAAAGCCACGGATTATAATAATACCTAACTTTCACTGGAAATCGCTAATCCTTGGTGTGTTTCTTAGGTCTGGATTCAATGGACGGATTAAATACAACAACTACCGATACTTGTATCCCGTGCATGAAAGACAAAAACGACGAATATAGAAGATATTGATGACCATCGACACAATCGAGCAGCATGTGCCAATAGAAGCCAATAGAACAGAGCCAGTGGCCTCTGAACAACGGCCGCACGATGCTGGACACGAAACTCCAAACTTCCAGGAAACTATAAACATCTACGTGCTATCTGAGGCGATATCATCAGTGAAGCTATTAAGCTTGTTCATATTATTCGCACAGTGTTATGCGGTTGGCGCTTGTTTAGGGACGAGCCGGTCGGGCTCCACTGCAACAGGGGTCAACTAACCCCATCGTTAACCCTCCTAATCCGTGCTTATACGCATGATATTTCTCAGATTAGCATGGATTAAAAAGGTTAATATTGCCGCCGTATACGAGCTTTACGCGGATTAAATTCCGGTTACTGTGCTACAAATGCGCTTTCATGCCATATTCATAGATTGGGTGAAAAGTATTTTCTATTCGGACGACGGGACCCCTCCCCCCCCTCCCGGAGTGCCTATGCCCCGGAGTGGAAGTTGGCTAACGAACTACGGCGAGGCCAGGAACACCAATTAAGTTAATTATTGCTTTTCTTTGTAGCTTAAATTTTGCACAAAGCGGTCATACTTTGGTAGATGGAAACTGCGACTGCCGGACAGAGGTCACACATTTACATAATGCCAAATGAACGGACTACAGAAACTGCATAGCTAAAGAAAAGTTATTGCTTTAACTAGTTTAGCAAAGAGCTTAACTAGTTTAGCAAAGAGCTTCACGCGCGGGCACCTCCGATTTCGACCTCAGGTTGGCCGATGATGATGACAGGACTTCTCGCTTTGTACCCATCCCAAAGCACCGAAATGCATAGGACTGTTGTGGAATCTAGCACATGCAAGACATTGCGTGGTCGACGTTAAGGGGGCGCATGATGCCCCGGCAGCGCTTTCTGGGCCTCCAGGAGCCCCAAAACGGATTGTCTAGGATCGATCCATTGCCGATAGATCGTAGGCGCTGGTCTGACGGTCATAGGGCTCATAGCAGCTGGATGGCTTTCAGACTGCCGGTCATGGGAACCCGGGAGGCGTGCTGTTGGTGCGGGGCAAACCAGGGCTGTCGGGTGACCGGCGGAGATGGATGGGTGCACCACCAATTGATATACACAGGGACGTATCCTAATCGGGGCGCTCGGCGGTACTCCGCCTGGAGCAAGCAGGTTTAACTCCTGCCGTCCTGTTCCTTTCATCATCATCCCACAAAGAGTCCCCCGCAATTCTTGTACATCACAGCGCACTCCTAGACCGGCTGGATTTGAGGAAGAGATCCGGAAGAGCTTGCGGCCCTCCCGCGGCTTACCCTCGGGCGAAGACGACAGAGGACTAGTCTCGCGCCCTGTTGGTAGGATACGGGGAAATAACAAAAAGTTTAGAAGGCGCCTGTTATCTACTGCGTTTGCATCCCAATCCGTGAAGGTTATCCACCTCTCTGTGCTTTCACTGACATAGTGACAGGGCGACGGTGGATGAAACCAGTACAGTAGCACTATACCACGTAAGACCAGTGTAAGAGTACGCAATTGCAGGAAAGAGCCGCTTTGTAGAGTGAAAGAGAGGCGAGCAGTCGCAGGATTACAGCCTGTTCGTTGATTCGCATGAGGCAAATGGCTAAGCTCACGGGCCTACACGTTTGCCATGGAGAGCCATGAGTGAATTATGATTACCGTGGACCCATAGGCCGACCAACCCCCCAATGGTCCCCCCACCTTGTAAGCCCCGCTTGAGGTCTTGGCACACCTATCCTGGCTCGTGATGTGTGCGGCGGCAGCCGGGGGAATCCCCCTCTACTGAACCACGCCTGAAGGCCCCGCCTGTTTTCTCTTCTCCCAAAGTTGCGCAAACCCAAAAAATCCGTTACAGCGTGTCTTGGGCCTTTCTCCGCCAGGAGGTCCCCAGCCTGGGTCCGCATGTCCTTTGTTTCATTGCAGCCGCCATGAGCCTACTCCTTGTTTCCAACCGCCACATCCCACATACATTGTTCCGCTGGCACCGGTGTTGTGTAAATGTCAGCCAGCACTGCCCGTCGTCCTCATGCCTCCGCTTCAATCGGCATGCTCACCACCCTCCCACCGTATCCAATTATGATTTTAGTAAAGCCCGCCTGTCCAATCCGCTGTGGACGTGTCACCTACGCCCCCCTCCGTGCCCACATCCCCACTCGGAGACATTGCCGACACTGGCAACATTGCTGATCCCGTCACCACTACACCTCGATCCTGAGATCCACTGCCGTAACCCGGGACCTGCTGTGCGTTGTGCACCCCTTCCAGGGTTTCGCCCACCAAACAAGAGCGCCCCACTCGTCACCCCGCCATGTAGCTGGTAGCTGCAGTCCCAGGCCATGCATGTCACTGGTCGTAAAACCCCCATGGCCACCTTAGTAGCTACCCGACTGGTCCCCGCCATATCCCCTCCCGTACAAGCCCCACCCGGGGCCCGCACTGCTGCACTGCGCCACCAGGCTGGTCGTCGCTGCTGCCGCTGCCGCAGCGGTGACGGGCGCACCGTGATAGCCAGCGGCCACCGCCACCACCGCAGCCGCCACCGCATCGTCATAACCACCCGACTGGTCCCCGGGACTCTTTGTGGGAGGATGATGAAAGGAACAGGACGGCAGGAGTTGAACCTGCTTGCTCCAGGCGGAGTACCGCCGAGCGCCCCGATTAGAATACGTCCCTGTGTGTATATCAATTGGTGGTGCACCCATCCATGTCCGCCGGTCACCCGACAGCCCTGGTTTGCCCCGCACCAACAGCACGCCTCCCGGGTTCCCATGACCGGCAGTCTGAAAGCCATCCAGCTGCTATGAGCCCTATGACCGTCAGACCAGCGCCTACGATCTATCTGCAATGGATCGATCCTAGACAATCCGTTTTGGGGCTCCTGGAGGCCCAGAAAGCGCTGCCGGGGCATCATGCGCCCCCTTAACGTCGACCACGCAATGTCTTGCATGTGCTAGATTCCACAACAATCCTATGCGTTTCGGTGCTTTTGGATGGGTACAAAGCGAGAAGTCCTGTCATCATCATCGGCCAACCTGAGGTCGAAATCGGAGGTGCCCGCGCTCTTGCTAAACTAGTTAAGCTCTTTGCTAAACTAGTTAAAGCAATAACTTTTCTTTAGCTATGCAGTTTCTGTAGCCCACCAATTTGGCATTTGGTAAATGTGTGACCTCTGTCCGGCAGCCGCAGTTTCCATCTACCAAAGTATGACCGCTTTGTGCAAATTTTAAGCTATAAAGAAAAGCAATAATTAACTCAATTGGTGTTCCTGGCCTCGCCGTAGTTCGTTAGCCAACTTCCACTCCGGGGCATAGGCACTCCGGGAGGGGGGGGAGGGACGCGGGACCGGGTACCAAATTGTGAATCGCAGATTACCGCGTTATGCAACACGCCTAGAGAAACGAGATTGATAGCTTGAAGGATTGTCCTTTTTATGATATAAAACGATCCTAATATGTATCAAGCGCTGCTTTCAAGCCCACACAGTAACGCATTAGAAAAGGACAGCTTGGCAAAACACGTTTCCGTGCGGCGTAAATCTTGAGTCAATCAGGGTCGCGAAGCGCAATACGGAACAAACTTCTGCCTGGGAAAGAATTTGTCCGAGATCTGTCGTGGCGTCGGAGGTACGGGATCATGGCCGCACGAAAGGCGGCTAAAGGTGGGCGGTTGGGTCCATTAGCCAAAGCCGGGCACCGGCAGATTGCACACTTCGGGGGGTTATTCTTCCCTAGGACGTGCGTTGCGATCCATTGCTGGAATTGGGCGCACGAAGAAGGACTTGCTGGAGGCGAAACAGCAGTATTGTGAGCCGCGTGCCCTGGGAACACTGACCCCAGCTCCCACCCTTCCTCTGCTGGTGTGAGTGCGCATCCGACCTCACTCGACCTCACTCGACCTCACTCAAACACGGAAACACGGGCGCCTGAGCCCCGATGAGGGATCACGTCCGTTGGCGGGGCTCGCTATTGAGGGATGGAATACGTGAACATGAAACTAGCAAATAAAGTTCTGCTCGAGGGTTTGGGATCATACCTGAGAAGTCTGATCCGTAAGCACGCCTGAGCATAGCGGAGCATAGCAGAGCGGCAGCCTGAACCGGACCTTGCTTTGAGCGTGAGGGTGCCAAGTTGGCGGATTCGGGGGCCCTTCAGGGGCTTTGGAAAGCAGCAGCTGTTACCGTGAGCCTTCTGTGTAACATGTCCCCCGTGTCACGACATTTTACCGTCACGTCTGTCGTACGCACGTGTTTTGTCGATGCTACAGTCGTACGACGCGACACCCGGGAAGGCGAGCGTGCAGATACCGTGGGAGATAGCTCTGGATGCGGCAAACCAAAAAGACAGAAATCGAATGGCAGGCAGGGCGTGTGGAAGGTCAAGGAGATGATGGTACCAAGGCGGTCCCATTAGAAGGCTGACAGTGGAATGATAAAAGAGAGCCAGAAGCGCCGTTCACGCGAGGAAGCCGCTTGCGGCTTTAAAACGTACGGATGCGGCATTAAAACGTACGGCATTAAAAAGCCTCCGGAGGTTCCCGCCGGCACCACTAGGTGGAAGTCGGAGATAGGCGAACAACGGTGAGGGATGCAGGAAGGCAGTCGCCGAGGGCCTGAAGCCTCCTTCGGTATCGCCTTGGTTGGCTGGCGCATGTTAGCGAATGCCCAGTTTTTTCAACGACCCGGAGCAACATTACGGTTTGGAAAAAAGGCGGGGGGGGAAATGGGTTGGAATCCTGCGGAATCGGGCAAGTCGAGGGCCTTTCGGTTGATTTATGAACTTGATAGACAGCGATGAAGGATTAGATTTGAGGGTGTACGGTTCTAGGGTGCCATCAACATGTACGATGTTCCGTACGATGTAAGACGCACGAGCAGTACGGCGCGGCGGACAAGCCAACCATACATATACCACCTCTTGGAAGGCATGAATTTCAGCACTGGATGAAGAGAGCGACCAACGCGTGTAGCCGAAAGCTATTATTTTTCTTGAAATCCTTGAACACCCTCTTTAAGCATAGTATTTAATGTAGCGCATCTTTCCACAATCTGTGTTGCATACGCATTTACCAAGATGGCGCCAAAAGGTCGTGCCCTGCGACGCGCAACAATGGAACCCTCAGTGTTGAGGGGGTTCCCGCCTTTTTGTGTTGGTTCTTCCGCCTTTGTGCGAAGCTTTACGGACGAGGAGTTTTCATTACAGTAAAAAAAAGCTGAACGCGGTAGTCACAACCTCTACTATATGGGGCTTTGGCAAAATCCTTATGTGTCTATGGCAAAAGCCATGTGTTTTTGCCAAAGCACTAGTTCACTCTAATCTGCAGCCAGCCAACAACCAAACCACCGCGCTCACGCCTGAAGAGCAGCTTACACATCGCGCACACAACGCCGCACATTCATCTCGACACGAACGAACCCCCGGCTGCTGCGCCATATACTCATAAGGCCCACGGAGCTCTACATGATCCCTGCCTGCCTGCCGCTTGCCTTGCCTCCCACCCCACCTTGCTTTCCCTTCCCCCTACAAAACTCCCACATTTATTTCTTACATGAAAAAGGCCATATTGTGTGCACCCTGACTCAGCAGTAACAAAAACCTTGTGTACGTACACCACAGACGTACACCACAGGCGTCGGAGACGCCTCTTACCCAGGTATGCAGATCATCACCCAGGTGTGCACATCACCCTCCCCCTCCACACACTCGGTCGTGATACCTCCAAAGAACTTCCTCCTCCTCTTCCCCTCTCGCCTTCCTCCTCCTTCCCCTCCTCCTCCCCCTGCTCCTCCCCCTCTTCCTATTAATTGTCGTCGCCATCGGCTCCTACTACCTCCTACTCCATCCTCATCTCTCGTCTTCTTCCCTGCTATCGACCAGGCACCACCACCACTACTTGCGCTCGGCCTCGGCCTCCTGCTGCTGTTGCTTGGCGCCCTTCTTGCCGGCCTGGGGACCCTTGGGGGGTGAAGCGGCGCGGATGGCCGAGACACCGGTGATGCGGCGCCCCGCCACCAGCACATTCACCTCGTAGGTGCCCTCGTACGTGTAGATCGCCTCCAGGTCGGAGAAGGACTGGGCGGGGGAGGAGGGCGGAGAAGGGGACGGAGGGCGCCACCACAGGGCGGGGATCCCACTTTGGTGAATGTGCTGACTGAATGGAGATATTACTGCGTATTGTTTTATCCCTTTTCACATGTAGTAGTGCGACCAGTTATACAAAATATATATTGCTGCTGGGACGATTTGTCGTGAGATGACTTGTGTGTGCAACCCTGCCCGTCAATAACCACAGGAATAATATTTCAACCAAATCACGGGCTCACAACCTCGCAGACGCATATATATGCCCGCCATAATAGACGCCTCTATTGACGCATTCCCACGTCCGTACACCCCCCAAAACCCCTGGTCGCCTCTCCTCCCCTCCTCTCCCCCTGTCTTACCTTGGCCACCAGGAAGTGCCCCAGAATGCCATTTCCTCCCAGCAGCTCCCGGCCCAGCGCCATCACCTCACGACCACGAGCTGAGGTCCAGGCCTTCACCAAGGAAGCCTTTGCAGGTGGTGGCGGGAGCAGTGGGAATGAATGCGGCAGTGGGAAAGGGGGACAAGGCGAGTCACTAATTTGTCTGGTGACACCTTTTGAGTATTTGAAGGTTCTGGGTTCGTTTCCTGGTCAGACCCCCGACATTGTTCGGGAAATGTAGGTTTCCTAACGCTGCTAATACGTGGAGATGAGGTCTAATTGTTGGACTAAATTCCGCATGCTGAGTTTGTGGTGATGGCTGATCTATCTCTACGGATGCCGGGTGATTGGATGAAGGGGGGCCTAGTTGGCAGGACCCAAACCGCCGTCGGTTGTACGGTGTAATCAACTTTCAATATATTTAGTCCATGGCCTCCCGCCTTTGACGGACCCCTCCCCCCACTCGTGCGGCACTTGTAACTTGTAACTTAACTAGCGAATGAAGCAGACATCACAGAAAGAAGGGGAAGGGGGGAGATATATGGTGGTGGTGGAAGGTGGTGGGAAAGCCGTGTAGTCAAGTTTTAAGGTCAAATGGTCAACGTCCCGGGGTCGCGGTGGTCTAGGTTGGAGTATAGGATTGGGCTGGCTGGTCACCTTTTTAAGGTCCTGGATTCAATTCCTGGGAAGACCCCCGTCCTTGTCGGAAGGAGCGTGAGAGTATGGCTAGCTGCTGAGATGTGAAGTTGAGGTCACAGTTGATGGACCGAGATTTGCACGCTGGATTGGTGGCGATTGCTGAACCCTCTGTCTCTACGGATGTTCGGGTGACATGATGATGAACGGCTCTAGAAGACATCACCAACCGCGTTAGACTTGCAGTTCAGGTATGGCGTGGTACAGTGTGGTAATGGTACAGTGTGGTAATGGTGGATGGTTAGGTATGATGTTCAATGCTGTATATGATAACCCAAATGGGGTGTTCAAATGGCCCAGAAATCCCCCTCTGTAACAACAACAGCAACAGCAACACATACACACAGACCTGCTCGTGTGACATGCGGCCCTCCTCGTACAGCTTGCTCAGACGCCAGCAGGCCAGCCACATGCCCTGTAGCGGACGTTGGAGCAGACAGACAGACAGACAGACAGACAGAGCGACAACCAAAGGGAGCGATGAGGGCATCAAGGAGGACAAACAACAACTGGTCGTACTACTACTACTACTACTACTACTACTACTACTACTACTACTACTACTACCACACGGTGCGAAAAGGGATAAAACAATACGGGCCGCCAGCAAGAATCATCTACATGATAATTTTGATGCTGATGACGATGCAAAAAGCAGGATGCAAAAACTTCAACTACCGACGTATACTCCAGAAAGAGAAGGCCAAGAGTCAGAAAGGGGACGCTTTTTTAATTACCTCTCCTCATCAATGCTCCATCACTATTCTCACCTACACACACACCCAACCCACCCTCGTCGGTCGTCTCCCCCAGCCCGAGGTCCCCAGCCCCAGGTCCTCCCCCCCCCCAGTGAAATGACTTCACACCTGGATGTGGCCCCCCATGCGGGCGAGCTTCTCCTGAACCAGCTGGAATGACCCCAGCTGCGTGTTAAACTGCTTCCGCTCAGTGACGTACCTGAGCACGCCGTACATCAAAGCATACATGCCGTATATCAGAACATGAATACCGTACAAAAGAAACCTCAGAACATATGGCACAATTAGGCTCTGTGCAAACAAGGCAAAAGTTATACATATGAGAAGTGAAGCGCGCATCACCACACTGGCATGTGTGCGCACACGCAGCCGTACACATGTACATACATACATACATACATACATACATACATACATACATACATACGTGTACATATAAAATCCAGATCAACACGTACCTGCAGCACATGTCGTACACACCGACAGACAGGCCCACGGGCTGCCAGGCCACCATGATTCGGCTGATGGCCAAAACCTGGTGGTGAACACGTGTATGTATGTATTATGTAAGTAAGTATGGTATGTATGTATGTCGGAAGGCGTTCTTAAAATTTGAAAGAACAAAAACAACAAAAATAAAAGAATGAAACACAAGGAAACGACACGGGCGATAGCGTAGGGCCCTGTTCTCAACACGCCAACTAATGGCCGCATCGCCATAAAACAGCGCATGCTGTTGTTCTTGTTCTTGTTGTGCCATCTATTGTCTTACCTTGTTGGTGTCCGCAAAGCTGGTCACCTCGGGCAGCCGGGCAGAGTCCGGCACAAAGCACTGCGAGAAAGTCATGTCGGCGTTCTGTACACAGCGCAGAGCAATCTTGTTCTCAATCTTGGCGGTGCGAAGACCGGGGTTGCCCTTGCGTACGATAAAGGCGTTGACCTGACCGGAATGTCGGGGGTGTTTGGGGGGGGGGGTAGAGGGTTGGGCCTGGGGATGTAAGGGGTGTTGGGGTGTAGGTGGGTTGGGGGTGCCGGCACTCGGAGTGCAATGAGGACATGAAGGATAGGGGCAGGGTACGGCATACGTTGTACCATACGGCGTTGCCATGTTGGTTTACTAACCTTCCTTTCTTTCACCCAGCCGGGCACATATACGTGTGCACAGATGCACATATAAAGACACGTCGTTCCAGACAGACGCAACTCATACCCCTCAACCAGCCCAGCCCCCGCCACCCACCTGGCCATCTTGATTATTACGGGCCCACACCACCGTCACATCCGCCCAGGTGCCGTTGCCGATCCAACGCTTGTACCCGTTAATCATCCAGCCACCTGTGCGGCGATAAATGAGTTCGCAAATACATACATACATACATACATACACATTAGGGAGACATTTAAAGGATAGTGGGCGGGCGTCCTATTTTCTTTCACCATGTCTTTACACTACTTTTACTTTACATTATACATTATAAAGCTGCATCGGGATGTGCGTGTTACATATTGAGTTCTTAGCAACGCCCTCCGTCTGAGGAGACTTTTCCCCTCTTCACACGCTGGCCCAACAAACAAACAAAAACAAACAAACAGACATACATACATTCATACTGCATGGACAAACTCAAACTCCCCCCGTACCTGGCACCTTGGTGGCGGTGGCGGTGAGGGCGGAGGCGTCGCTGCCGTTCGAGGGCTCCGTCAAGGCCCAGCAGCCAACCAACTGAAGGACCAACAACAGGGCACCAAACAGGGGACTGGGGTAAGAGGGGACGCGGCAGGAGGGAAAGAGGACGTTCTCGTGTATGTATGTACGACTTAGATTACACTGTGGGCCGCGAGAGCCGGGGGCCGAAGCCGAAACACAGCGCAAGGGTCGGGAGCACACAGCACAAGTCGGTTAGTCTTGTGTGCTCCCGACCCCGACTCAGACTGCCAACACTCTACGCAGCCACCATATATGTATATATGTATGTATATATATGTATGTATATGTATGTATATGTATGTATATGTATGTATGTATGTATGTATGTATGTATGTATGTATGTATGTATGTATGTATGTATGTATGTATGTATGTATGTATGTATGTATGTATGTATGTATGTATGTATGTATGTATGTATGTATGTATGTATGTATGTATGTATGTATGACGTTGATTACACTGTGGGCTGAAAAGCCGGGGGCCCAGGGCCGAAGCACAGCGCGAGGGGCGGGTGCATACGGCTGGTTAGTCTCATGCACTCCGCCCCCGGGTCAGGCCGCACGGGAAACGACGGCCGGCACGCAACAGCGCTTGTTTGGCGCTCCAACTAGACGGGATCTATGCCCGTTGGTCTCCTAACATAAACGAAGTCGCAACTGGGGGGCTCTTCCTGCCGACCGAACGAACCGAGCATCTCAGAGAGCTCGCAACCAGGACCTGGGCGACCGGGAGCCCGACGAGTCATCCCGGGCTGGGGAGGTCACCAAGCTCAAAAATCCTCACGCAAAAAAAAAGAGCGCAAAGAGCTCACACCACAAGACGCCAAACAGCCTCCTGAGACTACTACCCTGCTCCGCCATGTATGTATGTATGTATGTATGTATGTATGTATGTATGTATGTATGTATGTATGTATGTATGTATGTATGTATGTATGTGTATGTATGTATGTTGTTACAGGGTGGTTAACTTCGCCAGCGGCCCCCTTTCCCGGGGCAGTCCCTGCTCTCCCCTGCTAGAGGGGCACCCTAATCCGTCACCCCATCCGACTTCGGAATGTATTCGTTGGGTTCGGCAACTCACCACCAGCATCCAACCAAATCTAGCGGATCAACGGCGCATCAACTTAGTTCCTGGTCAGCTCGCAAGTTGATATTATCACGTCCTACACCGTCCATATGATGGGGGGCCACCTCCCATTTCATCACTCCTCAAACACCCGAGGAGCCGGCAGGCGGATTTGAACCCGGGTCGACTGGGTCGACTGGGAGCAGAAGTCATGTATGTATGTATGTATGTATGTATGTATGTATGTATGTATGTATGTATGTATGTATGTATGTATGTATGTATGTATGTATGTATGTATGTATGTATGTATGTATGTATGTATGTATGTATGTATGACTTAGATTACACTGTGGGCCGCGAGAGCCGGGGGCCGAAGCCGAAACACAGCGCAAGGGTCGGGAGCACACAGCACAAGTCGGTTAGTCTTGTGTGCTCCCGACCCCGACTCAGACTGCCAACACTCTACGCAGCCACTCCGCAGCCCCTCCATCCGGGGATGGCGCTGCATTGAATACACCACGAAGGGTTCTCAGGTCCCGCTAGGGCGAGTCCACAAGTATGTATGTATGCATGTTTCGTGTGCGTAAAAAAAGGCTCAGCGCCCGGTAACCCCGACTATGAGCCGGCACATACGACACGAAAACTGAAATAAGCTGTTCTGTTGCTGCTGCTGCTGCTGCTCCTCATTACCTCAAATTTGGCCATACGCGGCAGCAGCTCCTGCTTCTGCTCCTCCGATCCCTAAGGTCGGTTCGGTATGGGAGCAGGGGGCGGGAGTGGGGGCGAGTGCGGGGGACACAGCTTTGAGTGGGCGAGGACGCGGAGGGTGGGAGGGAAAGACGAACCACACACGATTGAAGCTGCTGCCAGGGCAAGAGAAGGGGGGGAAACCCTCCAAATGCGAGAGAACCTCCGAAACCAACGGGGAGTGAAAACAGTGAATATGTATAGATGGGTTTGTGTTAGTGAGGAGAGCTGCCTAGGGGAGCCAACTCACGCCGTATTGCACATCGCAGAACGGAAGTTGCCCCTCCCCTCGTCCCCGATCAGGCGCACTCACCGTCAAGATACGGCACACGACATGTGCACCCCCCCTCCTCTCCTCCCTTCACCGCACACTCTCCTGCTCCGCCCACCACCTCCCACCTTGAACCCCTTGTACCCTCGTCCCCCAGGCCCCCCCCTTTGTACCCTCGTCCCCCAGCCCTCCCCGCCTTGTAACCTCGTCCCCCAGCCCTCCCCGCCTTGTACCCTTACCAGCAGTCCAATTGTGAGCATGGCCAGATACGAGTGCACGAGCAAGAAGGTGCTCATGGAGGCATCCACCCGGGCAATCTCAACAACCGCCATGGCGTTGGACAGAATAGACAAGCCCTGGATGCATACATACATACATACATGCCGGCGTTATACATTTATCCAGACAGAGGGACACACATACACACGCATATTAAGCTTTGTGTACGGACCGGATGATGATGGTGATGGTGATGATGGTGATGATGGTAGTGGTGATGATGATCATGATGTATGTGATGAAATGAAATGATGTGATGGTGATGCACTTGGGACCGCGCGAACATGTGCTGCAGGTGCGGTCACGGAACTCACCAGTGTGGAGAAAAACATTGCATGTGAAAATGTTGTCAAAACGTGGCCACATAATACATATATACAGACATACATTGGGTTAAGTGCCCCTGGCCAGTGTCAAGCCCGGATCGAGATGTATACATACATACATACATACATACATACATACATACATACATACATACATACATACATACATACATACATACATACATACAGGCGCACTTCGTGGGGATCGCTACATGCAGGAAACTGCAAACGGTGGGCGACCTAGTGCGGGTCTGGGACCTAGTGGTGCATACTCGAGTGGCCTCCCTCCCCAGGTCGACCTGGCCCGAATGGGTCAGGACACACCTCGACCCATCAACCCCAGCACCCACGCGGGACAGGTCAGCGACCCTGGCAGCCCTTAAGACGCTACATGGCGCTATCAACCCGGCCTGGCTCGAAGCTGCAAGAGCAGTGGAAACCCAACAGCAACAGCAACCCCAGCCGCAGGCACAGCTGCAG